TCATGACTGATTCTATAACATTCGATTCTGAGCCCAGCCGACAATTTCCGTCGGGGGAGGGGGGTCTATTTGCGCTTCTCCATGAATACAACCACTCGTTCGCAATGTTCCAGAAAATGGTTGATCCTGAACTCCCCCCCCCCCCGAATACGACCCCCTCCATGTTCGAATGGATAGAGCGGAAGGTCGACCCTGCTCTCATCTTTGTTATAGTGCCACAGCTGTTTGGCGGAATATAGCGCAAAATCGCACACTTAAAGTCTCTGACTTTTAGACTGAATCGGGTGCCTGGAACGTTCCAAAAAGCCTATTAGGGGCGTAATTGTCCATTAGCTCAATTCTAAAAGGTGTGGACCAAGAGTTGCCCCATATCCCATCGTGATCATAACAACGCTTTAGCATCTCGACTTTCAGTTTCCACCGGAGAAAGAGCAACAACGGAAATTGGAACAAAAACGCGCGGACAACCTTTGACAACCCAACCCCCAAACCAAATTCCTGATTATTCTTTTCCGATGGATTCTATTTTTAGTAATTATTATTTCCTGGGAATCGGAAGGCGAGATGTGGGATCTCAAACCGCATAACACCGAAAGGATATCATCACGACCAGTCGTTCCAAAAGAAAATTTCTTTAAATTTGAAAGAAAGTTACCTACCGAGCCAGCTTTTCTTCAAAAATTCCTTTATTGATTAGCAGCTGCATCATATCGCCACCGGGCACGTACTCCATGACGAAATAAAGGCAGCGATCGTCTTGAAAAGAGAAAAACAACTTCACTATCCAGGGCGAATCGGCTTCTGCCAGAATGTCTCGCTCGGCTTTCACATGCGCTGCCTGAAAATCTGGGACATGATTGAAGTGAGAGGTGCTTTTGAGTGGACACTGTAGAAAAGATTTCTATGTCAACACTCTCAAAATTACTAATATAGTACTGGTAAGCCCCGCCCACCTGCTGTTTCATGATCACGTCCTTTTTCAGCAGACTCTTCATGGCATACACTTGTCCGGAGTCTTTCTGAAAATGTCATCAGATTCATTATTGACTTGAATAAAGCTGCAGTATAGTGAAGAAAAAAGGAAACCCTGCTGACCTTCTTCACAAGCGAAACTCGTCCAAATGCGCCAACACCAACCAACGCCAATGTGTTGTAAAACTTCAAACATGTCTTTGTTCATTTTTTGTCGTCGAAGCCGCATACAGAATAGGGGTTAATTCAAAAATAGCTTTTACATTTCCAAGATTTTAGCAGGTAAGGAAATGTTTTTTGTAAAGCTATTTCAAACACATTGTAATGTAACCCGATCTCCAGTACCTAATTCCAAAGGTAGTGCGCGATAGGAATCCATAAGTTTAGCAATTACGAGAAAATTGGGAAAAAATTAAAATTTTCATGAGACAGGGACCCTACTGAATAGGCGGACCCCGACGCGTGCGATTGTGGGGCAAATGACTTGCGCCTGAGATTTGTTTAGGCCACAACACAATATCAAAATATAGACAAAAGTGAAATGTTATCTATGCAAGCAACTGCGGTCGGAGTCCTCAATAGCTAAAAGTGACTGCGTTAGCAACCGCCAGGGTGCACCACTGATAGATGGAAACAAGGCTAGCCGAGACGGTAAAAGCAGAACAACTTCGACCTTATCCTCAGCACAAAAATGTATACGTTCTCTATTTTTCCCAGCATTTTTCACAGGAGTTCCAAAAACTTTTAGGTTGATGCATAATTATTGCGGCATTTTTTCGCGCCTTCTTTTTTTTTCGAAAAGATTGGCGTTTTGTTTATTATTTTTCATGAAATATTCTTCTCTCTTTCATTAACAGAAATGCTTATCGAAAATCATCTTCATATTCGCCACATATGCTCTACCACTTCGAGAAAGGTTGGAAGGCGGCAGAGTCATTTCGCGATCTCAACGAACTTTTCGGCGAGGGAACAATCAGCAAAAGCCAAGTTGAAAGATGGTTCAAGAGGTTCAAAACGCCATATTTACCGACCGAAGCTCCTACAGACTACCACTTCAATCAGTCGTTGAAAAACTGGCAAACGAACAAAATTTACGACGAGCTGGATGACTTGGTGGCCGATGTTAGAGCGTGGATCGTCTCCAAGAATCGTGACTTCTTCACCCGTGGAATCGACCGACTGCCAAGCAAATGGGAAGCATTCTTGAAGGATGGTGACTACGCTCCGGAATAATCATTTAAACATGTTTTTGTTAAATATTTTATCGTTTTCGCTGAATAAAATTTGTTGAAAAAATCCGCAATAATTATGCGCGTCAACCTCAACTTCGTATAAC